GTTGTTTGGCAGGCCCGGGCTGGATTCAAACCCGCCACCTTAGGTGTATGTGGCTGGCGCCTTAGCCACTTGAGCTACAGGTGCCAAGCCCTGCTGGCCTTTTAGTTCATTTCCTTTCCTGTCTTCAACCCCTGCAGGAGTATATCATCAACAGGAACAAGAAAATTGAGAAGCGGCGTCAAGAACTGATGGAAAAGGAAAGCACAAAACCAAAACCAGATCCTTTCAAAGGTGAATTGTGATCCTGGGCTCCCTGCTGTCCAGAATGGTAGTGATGCAAATGATGTGACCTCTAAGACCTAGTGTAGGCTTGGCGCCTGTGGCTTAATCAGCTAGGGTGCCAGCCACATACACCTAAGGTGGCGGGTTCGAATCCAGCCTGGGTCCACCGAACAACAATGATGGCTGCAACCAAAAAATGGCCGGGCGTTGTGGCCGGCGCCTGTGGTCCCAGCTACTTGGGAGGCAGAGGCAGGAGACTCATTTGAGCCCAGGAGTTAGAGGTTGCTGTGAGCTGTGATGTGACGGCACTCTACCCAAGGGGATAGCTTGAGGCTCTGTCTCAAAAGAAAAAAGACCTGGTGCAAAGCCAGCCTAGGGCAGCTGAGAAAGTGAAGTCAAGACTTCTTTTCACTGCTAAAGGGAAAAAGCACTTAGCAGTGGAAAGAAGCCCGCCCTTGTGGCCTTCTGTAGATCACAGCTCTCGGCAGTTTATTGGAGTGATATGGAGCACTGATGTCTCTTACTCCTTGGTTGAAAGAGAAAGGGTCAAAAGGGTGAAAAGTTGAATAGTAAAATTCCTAGATGTAGAGGCTGGCTCTTCTGTCCCCATACTTACTTATAGAAAGGCAGGCTATGAGTGTCTCAGTCTGTGCCAACTGAATCCTTAGTGTTGCATGGAAAAAACATGGGTGTTGTTGAGGGGTAGTAGGAAAACATCATTTGCTTGCTGTCCCATATTTCATAAGACCTGGGTGGGTTTCATCACAGGGATTGGCCAGGAGCATTTCTTCAAGAGGATTGAGGCGGCTCACTGCCTGGCCTGTGACATGCTGATTCCAGCACAACACCAGCTTCTCCAGCGGCATCTGCATTCTGTTGACCACAATCACAACCGCCGGGTGAGTCCCCTCCCAACTTGCTGGTGGAGGCCCAGGAGGAGTATTCCCAGACTGCCAACAGGGTGGTATCAACCTCCTTTGTCTTTCTAGGAGTGCTTACATTGCAGGGTGAGGGCAGCTCTTGATGTTATATCAAGTCTGTCACTTAAGATGTAAAATTCATCTCAGTTTCTATTAAAATGTAAGAAAATGTGTTGCTTAGGCTTGATTAAATATAGTTGCTGAAATTCTGGTTCAAGAATGTTCCCTATTGGGCAGCGTCTGTGGCTCAAAGGAGTAGGGAGCCGGCCCCATATGCCAGAAGTGGTAGGTTCAAACCCAGCCCAATTGTTCCCTGTTTACCTATAAATCACACATAGTGGCTCGGCGCCTATA